TATATACATTCTAGAGAGATAAATATTTATTTGAAAGTCATTAAATCTATAAGAGTCTTGTTTAAACCTGACCCTGAGTCCTTTATTGTAAAATAACCTTGTCCTCCAATGACTTTCTCATTTTGGGGACTTTGTTGGAGTCAAATTATGAGATCCAGTAAAAGAAAGAGATAATCTCTGCTGCATAACTTATGTTCCTATGAAAGAGAACAAAATTTAGTACTGATAAGGAAATAGGGATCTCTGTAAGGTTGTTGAACAAGAGATTCAGTCTCTATCACCAAAGTGATGATATAAGGTTTCTTGTCTAATCTATTTATATTTCTAAAAAAATGACATTTAGTGACACAAAATATAATTTTAGGAAGAAGAGAAGCCGATGTTACTTTTAGTAACTATTGCTCAGATTAATCTGTAGTTCAAACACTATTTACCTTGGGTATGCCATGGATCACACCTGAGTGACTTTGTTTTCTTGTGAAATAGAAGACCACAGAAGATAGGAGTCCCAGATGGATTTTTCTGCTGTAACCATTAGTAGGGAAATTGTGGCCCTTCTGGAACCAAAAGATGGCTCTGGGGCCTTTGTGTCTGAAGTCTGGATATAAGAGTTAAGATAAGTCAAGGCAGTCAAAATTGATTATGCCATTGTTTTCAACATAAAGAGCACTGGTAATCCATTAAGGATGTAGAAACCTAAGTCTCTGTGGAATTATGAGCAAATTGTGGGCAGAAAGGTGGAAGTTCATAAAAGAGGGAAACAAATGATCTATTCTTCACTTTCATTTTATGATCGAAAGCACACTTGTTTTTAATTAAAAAAAAAACACTACAATGAAATATGCAAGTTTAAATGAGACAGAGCAAGTAGCTTTGTGTACTTGCTCTAAACCTGTATTCCCAATCCCACACATTTAAATCAATATGTGATAAAAGTATTCTCTACTCACATTTTTTTTTTTTTTCCTACAGGACTTCTTGAAACACAGTAAACAAGTTTCTAATGAGTAAAGGGATGCATAGAGGTTCTAAGAAACTTTCCTAGAGTAAAGCAGATTATGTTTGGGAAAAGGAAAAGTAGAATATTTGTGCCTTCCTGTCTTCGAAGCCACAAGAGTGTGTTAAAATGTTTTTCCTAAAGCAAAGACATATTTCCACTACTTAAGTCCATACTTATACTGCAATCAAGTAACTATCCTTAATATATAAACCCCCAAAACAATGGTCAAAACTCATTTTGAGAAACAGCAATTTGCACTGCATATCAGTCATAATCGGATTTTCTTTAAAGTTTGCAAATGTCTGTCTTAAGGGGAGAGCTGTTTGTATTTTAAACAAAACACATTACCTAAGTAGGCTATAGGTATATTTCAATGTTTATTTTTTTTTTTTTTTCAGAATAACACAAGAAAGAGAAAATGAAATACATCTCTCTTGCAGAGGAGTCCAAAAAGTAGATACACTGAGGTCTTGCAAATCTTTTGCTAACAGAGCACAGACTCTTGAAGAAAATGAACCAAAGTAATTTGTATTGATATGTTCAAGAATTTTTTATCTAGGGTAAGGAATTTAAGAGAGAAGGGAATTTAAAAAAAAAAGATAGAAGTGAACTGAAAAAAGTCACCTTAACACAAAGCCTAAAAATCTCTTCTCTTATGAATATTTCAACAGGTAATATGTTAAAGTGGGTCAGAAAGTAGCTTCAAGGACAAGTTCAAATTAAGCTGAGTTTTTTATCTTGAATTCAATTTCACTAATTATTTCAATAATTGAAGATGTTATCTAAAGCAAATTGTAAATCAGCTAATTATTTACTCTGTTTATGTTTTCTATCAAATTATGCATTTCAATTGCTGTAATAAATATTACTTTTAGGGAGATGCAGGTGTAATATCTATGCAAAATTAGCCAGAACAAAATCAATATGAGTACCCAATAAAGCAGGTGTACAGTTATGGTGGTTAGTTGGGGGAAAAAATAAAGTTTAAATGGTGTGTATATCACACACATATTTTCATGGCCTTAGTAAAATAAAAGTGTGTAAAATTTAGCTCACTTCAAAGTATTATTCAAGGTCATTTTCAGAGGCCCTAGATTTGATATTTCCCTCTGTACCACTCCCTTTCTCCTACTTCTCAAGTGTCTTTCCTCTTTTTCTTTCACCTATATATCACCAACTTTTTTCATCAACAATTTCAAGCCCAACTCAAGTTCATTTATTCAACATTTTGTCACTGCAGACATGGTTACTAGGAAATCTGTGTGTGTATGTGTGTTTTTGTGTATGAGCGCATATGTCAGACTGGGAGGGAAGGAGGGAAGAAGGCAGGAAAGAGAGAGAGGCAGAATTTTGTGTTTTGGTATGGATAAGGGGGCTGGGTTAGCAGAAGGACAGAAACAGAAGTGGAAAAAATAACAGTATATTTATAGACATGGTATTGTTGAAGGCATCATGAAAACATGAAAGAGGACCAGAAAACCACATTATTGTACTGATAAGCCCTTGAAAACACCTTCTTTTAAAAGATGGAATACTATGCATTTACAGAGGAATGTCCTGGGAATGCAGAGGCCAATTAAAAAGGACATTGCCTTGACATTAGAAACAGAGAAAAAATTAAGTGAATACATTTTATTCCATAGGTTTTATAAGTCTTTTGGGTCCTTTATTGCTGAGAAATATCTAGGTCTCTAACAACTTAGGGCAAGTTTATGTTGGAAGAAGTCTTACACCACTGAAATTAATTTCATCTTCCAATAAAGATTTTTAAATACTTAACATTTCCTGCAATGTTAAGAAACACACAGCATCTATCCCTAAATATCATACATCTTCATGTAGAAGATCTAGCAGATGGGTAGGTAATAATCACATAATCTACTGCAGAATAGGAGAATGTAAAACAGGTATAGCTCAACTAATCTAAGTGGAGAGAGAAAGAGATTCCCCCAAACTTAAAAGCCATGAAGGTGGAGTTTTAACTACCAATTTAAGTTCTCTAAGATAATTATATTTCTGCATATTTTAAAACAATTTGACATAAAGGAGCCTAATCCTTAGAAGATAAACAGAAACTAAAGGGGAAAAATTAGGTATACAGAAAGATTATATGGATAAATTAATTTGCTTGCTAAAGGATATGATTATATCCTTTTCCCTTAAAATTTTGCATTTAGGACTATGTAGGACACAGTCTAAAAAAAGGGATTTTGTGATAGACACGTAGGTTTGAAATTCAGACGACAGTCTGAATTATCAAGGTGATCTTGAAGGTTGTCCTTAATCTCACCATATCTACATTTCTTTTCCCTAAATACTGCACATAATATATAAAATACTGGTTGATAAAATAATTATAATGGGAATAAATATAAAAAGCAGTTTTATTTCATGGCACATAATGAGAATTCAGTATACTTAAGTATTTCTCAGTAGGTTTATTACAAAATAAAAATGAGGATGATGATGACTGTAAATTCAAAATTACAGTTCTCTAACTCAGTGTTGATTGACATTATAAGGCACTGGACTTGAAGGAATCCTTTTGGAATTTTCCCCTTAATAAAAGGAGGACCTCAACACTGTACTTAAATTCATCTGTGGCTTCAGTGGCTTTTGGAAAGGGTAACTGTCTCACCAACTGAACTTTTAGTATAATTTTAAATGGAGACTAGAAATACAATAGGGAGATTATTGAACCTTCAAACAAAATAGTTCCTTTGGAAACAAATACTATCACCTTCTTCCCAAGAATCTGATTAGATATCCCATCTTTTCCTCTAGTTAAGAAGTTCAAGAATCTTCTGCAAGCATAGCCCACCTAAAGGGAATGCCTTCTCCTTTCCAATGCAGAATTAATATCAGTTCCTAAAAGGAATGGAAAAATGGTACCATACCCTTGTCAAATTTCCTTTTTCTTTACAACTTTACTATTGCAGAAATTTAACCTATACTAGTCATAAAACTGCTTAGAATAAAATTATTATATTAAGGTTAAATTGTTAATTTTATTCTTAGAAAATGGCACTTGCTTTGAGATTATCACTACAATGTAAATACAGATGTATTGTTAGGAAGTGTGATTTAGTTGCTTTCTTGTTAAATGCTAGCAAATGTTCTTACCATGTCAGCAGAATCTAGAAATAAAACAGTCTTGTATGCCCTATATTTTTCTGTGACTCTGTGGAAGCTCACCTATATCTGAAATAGTTACATTAAGTCGTGAAAGGTAATTATCCAACTTGTCAATTTTGCAGGGGATCAGCTGGTGGACTAAGCAGTATTGTATTTATATTGTGTTATAAATATGGGCTGGAACATGCAGAGACACATAAGTGCCTATTAGAAATAGACCCCAGAAATAGCCAAAATCTGCATCATATAAGGCAACCAAAGGGCTCCATAGTTAAGTTGAATATACATGCAAATTTTAAATGAAAAAAATTTTTTTTTTTTGTTTTTATTATTAATCATGGCTTTGGCCACTAAGTCAAAAGCAGAGAACTTTGGTAGTTAGGGATGATATTATTTCTCACTATTATGGAATGTAATATAAAGAACTTTAGATCTCAAAAACAAGGAAGCTTAATTTTGTAACCCCACCACTAGTGGTGGTATCCAAGTATAAGTATCCAAGTATAAGTCTTACAAACATGTGCACACGCACCATTATGAAAAAGAAAAAATAGTGCTTACTTCATCTCAGTTTCATTTGACCTCAGATTGCAGTTACAATTACTGTATTCTCAAACCTAATTGAGAAAAAGAGCAATCCCCTCCTGAGTACTTCCCTCCAAAAAACAAAACAATACCCTCTCTGTCCAAGTAGAAAAAGCAAGAGAGACTGTAAGATTTTAATGTAGCAATATCACTCCCTACCACTTGTGATCTAATTGGTGCCCTGAAATCAACTGAATACTTTTTCCTTTGTGATTACACTCATGTTGTATTGCTATCATCAAATATTTAGCAGTTTTTCAACAAAAAATAATTAGCTTACAGTTTTGGAGGTTAAGATGTCCAACACAGGTATCACTCCACTAAAGCCAAGGTGTCAGCAGACCTCTGTTCCTTTGGGAATGTCTCACTTATTTGGGTGTTGGCAGGATTCAGTTGTTTGAGGTTGTAGGACTGAGAACCTTGTTTTTCTTCCAGTTGTCAATTACTCCCTGTAGAGGCCAGGCTGGCCACAATGCAGGTTTTCTGATCCCATGCAGACCGGGTAAAGGAGGAGTCAGAGTCCTCAGTGGTTTTTTGCAGGTCTTTTATTGGGGTTCACCAGGCATATGGCAGGCAGGGGTGCTGGCTGGTCTTCACTCTATCTGGGCTCTCTGGAGTTCGTTCTGCTGCTTCTCAGCTTCGGCTTCTACTGCTGCTACTGGTGCTGCTGCTGCTGCTGCTGGCGTCCCCGTGAAGCCGCCCTTAAAAGCACAGTCTTAGCTCAGCTGAATCCCATCCACCTATGCCCACACCCTATTCCAGGTGCCCGCCATCAGGCATGCATTCAGGACAAGGATCCATCATCTATCCTGATGGCGGAAGGGCAGAAAAGCCTGATATTTTCTTTACCCTACAGTCCACCCCCTCAGGGTTTTCTGCCATACAGTCTATATATATATATATATATATATATATATATATATATATATATATATATATATACAATTTTCTAAGCAAACAAACAATGCAGCCATGGCCCACAAAAGCAAATACATCAAATATAACAAAATACAATATAACAAAATACAACAGAACACAAATAAGTCCAAGCAGGGCACCAACCTAGTGCAAAAGACAATTATTGGTACCAGCAGATAAGCCACCAAATCTGCTGCCGAAGGCACTGCTCATACGAGGGAGGGGAATCACTCACGACATCTATTGCAACAGGCCAGGAGCCGTCAGGCTTCCTGGCCTTCTCTGGCTGTAGTCTCGGCTACAAGGCACACACAGCATCCACCCCAGGATGCACTAGCTCTGGGATTAGCAATTTTATTCTGTTGGGGGTAATCGCCAACCCTCAGGGTTTCTGTCTGCAGTCGCTCCAACACTCGGCCTTCATGGCCACCCATGCGACTCACAGACCCCTGCATTCAGGCCAACCCACTGCACAAGCACATGGGTCGGGATCCAAACTCTGCATTCGGCTTGGGCTCCACCCCAAGCCACGTTCCCCACCCGTCCCCCAAAGACAGGTTCCTCAGCTCCTCACCCTCACTCAAGAATGAGCAGGGCATTGCCCACAGGTGATTTTACGAGACTCACAGTTCTTCAGCATACCCAGGCTGCTTAACAGCCGCTTAGGGCTTCTCAACTTAGCATCAGTACCAGCTTTTGCCTTCTTAGTTGGCTTTTCTCCTCCACCTGGCTGCTGGGCATAACAGGCTGCTTTTGGCCATCAAGGCCCACTGGCCACCCCCAGATTCTCAAAAAAAAAAAAAAAAAAAAACATAACCTGCCAAGGTCCTCCGCCTTCTGGCGGGATTGTCAGTCCAAGTTTATCAGTCCATGTCCATTGGCCTCTCCCTGAGTCAGCAGCGGCCTGCTGCCTCAGGGGTCATTGGCTGGTCCTTTCCGGTGTCGTTGGCTGGTCCTCTTGGGTGTCTCCTCTATGCGAGGTCTCGTCCCACAGCTCCGGACCGTATCCACCTTTTGTGCCGCCATGGCGCCTCCAGCGTCATCACAGGCAAACAGTCTGTTGTCCTTAGTTCCTCCAGGTCTTTGGAGGGCTCCAATACCCGTCTGCATGGATCCTGCCGTCTACGCCAATTGTAAAGGGCGGACTGGCCACAATGCAGGTTTTCTGATCCCATGCAGACCGGGTAAAGGAGGAGTCAGAGTCCTCAGTGGTTTTTTGCAGGTCTTTTATTGGGGTTCACCAGGCATATGGCAGGCAGGGGTGCTGGGAGGCTGGCAGGCCTTCACTCTAGAATGAAGAGCAAGTCTTCACTCTATCTGGGCTCTCTCTCTGCTGCTTCTCGGCTTCGCTTCTGCTCGGCTTCGGCTTCGGCTTCGGCTTCGGCTTATCGGCTTCGGCTTCGGCTTCGGCTTCGGCTTCGGCTTCGGCTTCTACTGCTGCTACTGGTGCTGCTGCTGGCGTCCCCGTGACGCCGCCCTTAAAAAGCACAGTCTTAGCTCAGCTGAATCCCATCCACCTATGCCCACACCCTATTCCAGGTGCCCGCCATCAGGCATGCATTCAGGACAAGGATCCATCATCTATCCTGATGGCGGAAGGGCAGAAAAGCCTGATATTTTCTTTACCCTACGCTCCCCAATTCTGGAGGCCACTCAAATCCCTTATTTTATGGTCTCTCCCTCCATTTCTAACACCAGTAAGGGAAGGTCTGGCTCCCTTCAAACTAGATTTCTTCTTTTTCTTCCATCTCCTTTCTCTGATTCAGCAAGAAGCTTTCACCATGTTTAAGTTTTCATGTAACTCAATAGAAACCACTTGGGTAACACAGGCTATTCTCCCTATTTTAAGGTGAGTTAATTAGCAACTTAACTTCAACCTCAACCTGAATCCCATTTTGCCATTTAAAATAAGATGTTCACTGTTTCTAGGGATTAGGGCACAGACTACCCTGGAGAGCCACTTGCTTCCTACCAAAGGAGAGAAAATGGGAATATATGGGGGGAAGTGAACAAGAAGGGACTTTAAATTTTTTGCCTGTATACGTTCCATGCCTGATTCCAGATGTTTAAATTTCAAAAAGCTACTTAAATTCTCTAAGCCTTGCTTCCTGTTTCTTACACATCAAAATACTAATACCTATCACAATGAAGGATACTGGTGAGGGATGTCTCACTCAGAGGAACTTAAATTCCAATTTTTTTTTTAAATATTCCTCCAGACAGATAAAGCACATCTGTAAGACATGTAGGAATTGAAGAAATCAAGATATTTGTGTTTTTTTTTTTTTTTTATAGAGGCATGTTTTTATTTATTTATTATTTATTTGTTTGTTTGTTTTCGTTTATACATGCACTGGGTACAGTCAGAAGCACGGGAGGGTGAGAGAATTCACCAGAGCCAGAGCGGGGAGCAGAGCAGGCAGAAGGACCGAAGCACACTGCTGAGGGGAGCAGCGGGCGGCAGGAGAGGTCTGCTCGCCATGTGGGACCCTCCTCCGGTGGCCGGGGAGCAGCCGGGGATCGAACCGGCGCCGCAGAGGCCGCGGGCAGCTTCGCAACCCAGCGCTCAACCATTGCTATGAGGACTAAGTGAATTGATTTATGTAAAATGCACACATAGCATATAATATGTATTCCACCCATTTTAGTTTATTTCCTGCATGTTTTTCCCTAACGATGTTTACTAGGCTGCTAAGCATGAAAATAATGTTATTCTTTTTTTTCTTCATAAATTACTATCCATATCATGCTATTTTCTGACCACCTGGGTTCCTTTTCACATGTTTATAAATACATCCATCCAAATATTTGGCCCTTAAAATCCCCACAGTTTCTCAAAAGTCCCATCAATCACATTCAATCATATTTATATTCATCCATGGAACAGAAACATGAAAAAGTACCTACTATTCAAAATAGCCTTTCATAGAACTCATTTCATTATTTTCTTTGTGTGTTAGTTTTGCAATGTCTTTCTAATCCTCTTTTCTTATTAGTACTACTGTAGATGCTAATGCCATATCATTTTGACAGCTTTGCTTATTCATTTCCCCCTTATTTTCTAATGATTCATAAATGGATTTTAAATTGTGTATAGTTTCATTTAATAAGCACTATTTTTCTCACCCAGTTTTACAGGCTATAGCCTGCATATAATCTCAAACATTAAGTGCTGCTCCATATGTATTGTAAGTCCACTTATGTAACTTAGAAATATATTACACAGCTTAGATAGGTTAATAAATGAACCTCATGTGACATCTCTCTGATTAAAAATTTATTTAGGTCAAAAGTTTAGATATGAACATGGCTAATATTTTACATGGAAACACAGCATTTTTCCCATTCTTGAATATATTCCATATTGAAGATTCTCACAAGAAATAGTTTCATTCAGCTTTGATCATAATAAAACAGAACAAGCTAAGAGATTAGGGGTGATAAATTAGATTCTGGAGATCCTTTGTGCCTTCCTTAGATATGTAGAAACAAACTTTTGAATTAACTCCTCAGTGACCAGACATACAGTGAAATATTTTAGGAGCATTTTTCCTTCCTTTCTTCCTGAATTCCTTCTCTTTTTTGCAATAAATTAGAATATTAAAACAAAATTATTTTTCATAAGATTTATAGGCATCATGTCAGGTAAGAAGCTTATTCAATTACAGATATAAAGGAAAACTGGAAAACACCAAATACCAAAGAAATCAGTTGTATATCCTGAAGAAAAGAGAGAAAGTTACTGATAGTTAAGAGAAGCATGCACTTTCACTGAGTTTTATTTGTAATTTTGGCTCTTAGTTGACTAGACCATTTTTCTGATTGGCTTCTATTCTAAGATTAAAATAATAAATAGTATGGTTAGAAGAGGAAATCATGTCTAAGTTTTAATTCATACAACATTTTTATTTTCTTGGTTTATGTGCTTTATACCCTCATGGTATTTGGAAACCCTGTTCCCACTTTCAGAATAGCTTATCCCACTGCTTCTAATTTTGTCACCTACTTAAAGTCTATAAAACCCACCTGCCACGTCCAGACTACCCACTATAATAACTCTGTTATAGTATGTATCATCCATTATTTTAATCATCTGTTATTCTATCTACTCTCCCAGACTAAATGGGATATGAATGTGCAGAGCTTTTAGTAATGCTCACCATTATTATCTCCATAGTATAGCATAATATCTAGGCTAGTATAATTATTAGTCTGCTGTAACATAACTAGTTTCCATCTCTGAACCATGAATACATAGGTACTACTGGAATCCTGTTAAGTGGGAAATTTTCAATTAGAAACATTTCTAGCACCTCCCTGTGGAGTAAGGATAACAAGATATTTCTATCCCTCTTGAACACTCTGAAAATAGTCCATTTAGAAAAAGGAGAAAACCAAGATTATTTGCATTTCAGGAAAAATTTGGAAGTCTGAGTGTCTCCATACATTAAGTGGTCTTCTGCATTTTGCCAAAATCCACTCCTCTATCCCTAATCAGAAATTTATAAGAATACTGAGATTAATGAAATGACTCACCGGCCTCCCTGGTGGCGCAAGGGGTTAGGCACCACATTATGAAGCAATCCCCAGCCCCTACAGCACCAGTTCAATCCCCGGCTGGCCAGGGAGCTACCCACATGGAGCAGCAGACCTCTCCTGACTCGCCCGCTGCCCCCCTCAGCAGTGTACTTTGGTCAATCTGCCTGTTCTGTTCTCCACTCTGTCTCTGGTGAATCCTCTCACCTCCCTCATCGCTGGCCTATACCCCAGCTCTTGTGTGCATAGATGAATGGATCTAAAAAAAAAAAAAGAATAGAAATGACTCAGAGAAACCAATGGATATGAAACATATATATATTTATGTTTCATATATATATATAAATATATATATATATATATGTTTCATATGTTTCATATCCATATATATATATATAATTCACACACTGAAATCTATAGTGTT